TTTTTTTTTTTCATTTTTCATGTTGTATTTGTTTTTCTGTGTCTGTGTGGTTCCGTTCCGCTCATTGCATTTCTGAGTCTTCATTTCATTACGAATTTGGATGACCATACGGTTCCATTCATCGTTCGCTTTTGTGGATGGGTTGCCCCGGTAAGCGGCCAGTCCGAGTTCATGTGCATGTGCGTTTCTGCCTTTGCTCGCATGTCTTGTGTATATGCTGTGTGTCTTGGGTGTTTTCGGTGCTTGTACCTGGACGAATTGACGTATATGTGCTGTGTGTTCTTGGGTATGTGTATCTGGACGCATTTTATTGTGCAGGTTCTTTTCAGAGTTTGAAGTTTACGACTTTGCAAGACTAGGAAATATTGCGACAGAGACTGTACGTGGGAATTTACACGACTTGCAAGCCCTGAGTTTTATATCTAGAAGAATCCCATCCCATCCTCTGCATTTCTCTGCCCATCTCTCTCTCTCTCTCTCTCTCTCTCTCTCTCTCTCTCTCTCTCTCTCTCTCTCTCTCTCTCTCTCTCTCTCTCTCTCTCTCTTGCGGCAGAGGCTGCATGTGAAAATTTACATAATTGTGAGCCCGAGTTCCACGTCTAGAAGACTAGAACCCAATCCCATTCCCTCTCCTTCTCTCTATCTCCTTCTCTCTTTCTCTCCTCTCCCTCCCGCTCTCTCCGTGTTCCTGTAGGTCTCCTTTCCCTTGAGCCTGTGCAACGCTGATTCAAAACCCTGAACTGGGAGCGATAGGCATAAACATTGACATTGATCGGATGAGATTGATGTCCGAGATCGAGTTGTGGGAGGGAAAATCTGGTGACCTAGTATACACAGGAATGACACAACCAGTTCTTTAGTGAAACAATGCCATTGCAATCAGACTTGTCTTCTTCAGCTCAGCATGCATGCAAACAGATGGCGATCACAACTGGCGCATGGCGCCCGCACAAAGCTCAGAGATAAACAAAGCCAGGAACAAAGCCCAGATTCCAACTTGTCTTGAAATGGCTATGACGCCAATGCGCCAGACGACGGTTTCCACTTGATCAACTGTATCCCCAAGCAACTTGTTCACACACACACCCTGGATCTCCCTGGATGTTCCACACACATTCACTCTCACACGTATACACACACACACACACACTAACCTCCTACCTGGCAGCTATGGCTTCCGTCTACCTCCTCCTACTAATTTGCGGCTATGGCCGCGTCTTCCTCTTCGGGCACCTGCAGACCTTCATACACAAGACGCTCCGACAGCGTTTTCGCACGGCTCACAGGCAGAATGAATGAATGACTTGACGCTGCCTCTTTATTTATACTTCGGATCGTCGTTGGTCTGCCCTTGGACGCTGCGTCGGGGATGTGCGCAGTCCCACATGGTACTTGCTGACTGGACAAAGTGCACCTTGGGACCGGGTACTGCTGACTGGGCTAGGTATATCTAGGACTGCCCTTCGCTGACTGTGCTAGGACTTCCCTCTGCTGACTCAGATGCGGACTGACTCTTAAGGCTCACGAAAGGTCACTTCCGGAAGTTCCAGCAGGTCGTGGACTTTACCTTTCAGAACTGACCTTTCACAGCTACGACCTAAGTTACCACTACGACCTCTAAGACTCAGACCTACGGTTCAAAACCCAACGGCCGCACTATATACAACAGCGGAACATATGACTTTCAGAACACAGGTGGTGGGTTCAAACACACTCGGGTCAACGGGTACTGTAAATGGGTGAAGGGGAGGTCTAGGGATCGAGCCCTGGGTTCTGCATCTGCTACCGTAATAGGTGAAAACCGTTTCCTGCATCTGCTACCGTAATAGGTGAAAAACGTTTCGCCATTGTCAATCTTCTGCCCTATTACTGACTCTAGCTATGGAAACAACTATACTGACATCAACACGTAAAACAAGGAAAAAAGAAAAAAAAGATGTCAGGGTTACGGGGCCGAACATTCGGGGGCCCCTGGGCTGACTCCCGAACGTTCGGGCGTTTGGGGTCCCGTTCGGTGTCCGAACACGAATAGGTTCGGCCCCGGCAAAATATATTTCGGGTCCTGAATATTATTATTTTTTATTTTTCTTTTCTGAGCTTTTTTGTGATGTGAGGTACATGCCTAAAGTTTTGAACGAATTTTGCTAAGAAAAAAAAAAAAAAAAAAAAGCCAAAGATGGCGGTGTCAAAACGTGCTCGCCCACTCACTATGTTTTTATTTATTTTTTTCTCTCTTTTCATTTTTTTGTTTTTCACTTGATTTCGGAGCCTAAATAAATAATTATTTTTTGAATTTTTTTAATAAGTTTTGTATCATGTGAAATACACATCTATAAATTTTCAGGGCATTTTGATTTTTTTTATTATAAGTTTTGTATCACGAAAAGTCGCCAAAGATGTGGCGGTGGCAAAAACGTGCTCGCACACTCGCTAATTTTAATTCTCTTTTCATTTTTTCTTATTTTTCTTATTATTATTTGTTTTCCGTATTTGATTTTTATTTCAAATTTGGTTAAGAATTTGGATGTAGCGCTGAGGCAAATGTTGTTCAGTTTATTTTTCTGCGTAACATTTGTTTTTTTTTTTCCAGTTTATTATTTTTTTCTTTTTTTTCTTTTTTGGGTTCACATTCGACCCGGCCGAATGCGTCTACAGAGGGGGGGGGGCCCGAACGTTCGGGCATCCGTTTTCAGCCGTTCGGCCCCGGCCGACCGCTGACTACCATGAACCATGTCATATTTCAAATCGAAGAAATTGGGAACAAGCGCACCAGCTCAGTGAGTGACTCGTCAATTCAATCAAACTTTATTCTCTGTGTCTTATGGTTGTTATCTTGTCCCACCGTAAGGCCCAACAAACACTTGTACCAATTGGGACTTGCGGCGACGAAGTGGGAGACTGGAGCTTTAGTGGGAAACCCAGTTATTCAATAAGAAACCGGTTGGGTCATTGTTCAAGGGATTAATTCGAAATTGAAATTAAATGCACTAAGGACATTTATGTTGAAATAGCCTTTTTAGCTAGGCTACCAGCCGGGCCGCCCGGGTCCCGGGTGGCCAGCCCGTGCAAGGACCAGGGAAGGTACCAGCAAAAAANAAAAAAAAAAAAAAAAAAATCGAAAAAACTATGTTATGAAGAAAAATAAACTGAACAACTTTTGCCTCAGGGTCACATCGAAATTCTGCACCAAATTTAGAAAACAAAATAAAATTAAAAAATATTTTTTGTTTTCTATTTTTTTTTTATTGTTTTTGGCCCGGCCGGGCAAGTGACCCCGGGCCACTGTGGTAGCCTAGCTTTTTAGAACTCTTTACAAATTAAAATAATCAATTACCGTTGTTTTTATCATGGTTACCAACCGGACGTCCGGATCCCGATCCGGACAGTCCGGTGTCCGGTTCGGAGGGTCCGGTTGGACCCCGATTTCAAAAAAATCGAAAATGTTTTTGGGGGTTCCCAGGCCGTTTACCTGGGCCTGGGGTAGCCCGGAAAAATAATGCTGATGTTTTTTGAGAACCGGTACCCCAACCGGGCAGGCCCTGAAAGGGACCTCTGTGTGATAAGATTGGCACACGAGTTCACTGCTTTGCTCTTATTTGGATGGAATCTTGGTGCATTTGAGCTCTCGTCTTGGTACATGACTATCTGGACATCTGCGTGATTTTGCGACTTGATTTTCTGTCTATCGCTCTCGCTCATATTCCTTGCATTTTTGTGATGTGGGAGGAGGGTCTGGCTGATGGGAGGGGCGAGCAGGGATGGGAGGGTGATGCCGAATGGGAGGGCGCTGAAGGATGGGAGGGTGATGAAGGATGGTAGGGGGATGAAGGATGGGAGGGGCGAGCAGGGGCGATGACGCCAGATAGAGATGAGCGACATTGGATACTGTGTTGGTGTGGCCTGAGGGTGATGACATTGGCACACGAGTTCACTGGCTTTGCTCTTTTATTTGGATGGAATCTTGGTGCATTTGAGCTCTGTGTTTGGTGTTTTTTTTTTTTTTTTAATCCGGACAACCGGACACCAACACAGCAAACCGGACTGTCTGGTTCCAGATGTCTGGATGTCCGGTTTGATGTCCGGTTAACCGGACGTCCGGCTTGATCCAGACACGGGTCCGGTGTCCCTGTCCGGTTGTCCGGTTGTCCGGTTGTCCGGGTGTCCGGGTGTCCGGGTCCGGGGCAACCATGGTTTTTGTAAAGTTTCTTGAACTCGGTCGATGACATCATAGCAAGCCTTGGAAAAAAAAGAAAAAAAAAAGATTTGCTTGGTCATGTCTCTCTTTTTTTTTTTTTTTTTTTTTTTTAAAGGTCCGTCATGTCGTGGTAGAGGGTGGATGCTGGGCCTCTGGAGGTGTCAGTCATTGTACGTACTCAACCAGTGAGGGGATTGGATGTGGCTTTTGTGACAACCCGAAGGACAGTCTTCCTCTTCCCGGGGGTGTCATTCGTGACCTGTTATATCCTAATCTTATCACAAGTCGAGCCCTACAGCGGTGCGACCCAGACCTCTCTATTCAAAAAGGAAATGGCGGAGACGAAGCGTAAATGTAAACTTCTACGCGTGAAATGCAACTTCGCTCAGTGTCTGCTTTTGCACAGATGTACTCAAACAGGAAATCGCCTCGGAAACGTTGGCTTCGAACTATGCACGATACCTCTTTCGCTAATAAGGTAGAGAGGGAAAGGATGCGGAGACACATCAAAACAACTCCATGGCTGCGGAACCTATGTCCTGTTGCGTACCCTTTTTGATGGAAAGTGCTTGTAGGGGTGGGGTTAAAAACCTTTAAAGTCAGCAAAGCCTGCAAACGAAAAAGTGTTCGAAGGTTGGCATCGAACAACCCTTCGTGATGACAGAAAGTCGAGGAGGAAATATCCATTTCAAACGCCATGTGCATGATAAGGAAACTTTGCTTGGTTTTGTGCATGCTTGTCGACCGGGAAAAATACTTGCGGAAAACACCGCCGCTGAGCAGCGGTGCAGCAGCTTGCATGTTCGATCCGCTGACGTGTAAGTGCCAGTGATACTGTGCGAAATCTGCAAGGAGACCTGCCAATGTTAGGACTGCACGGTGCCGTCTTCACCGGAATAGAAACATATATATGGTCATTATCGCTGCATTTAGACTGGAAGTTACCCCAAGTACATATATATATATATATATAATAACCATACGTTCTATTCACGCGAAGATGGTAGGCATAAGTAAGAGTTGTGGAGGCACCGAGCGCAAGCGCATGCCTGTGAAGAACTGGGTTGAAGACTTGAAGTTGAGTTGGTTCATTTCTTGCTAGCCGTCAATCTAATTCATTTCTTGTTGCTGTCCATCTCTCTCTCTCTTTTTTTTTTTTTTCCTTCCATTTTTTTGGATGTTCGATTCGGAAGCCGTTGATCTATTTTCTTTGAGTGGGTTGTATGATGTGTGATGAGAAGATGACACCTCTAGTAATTGGCAATGCTGCACAAGAGCTGACGATCGGAGCATATGTCCCGTCGTACATTATGCGTCGTGTCATTGTCATGCTGCAGGTTGAGCTGGAGGAGGGGCCACTTCACCAGTTCCCGCACGATATAGAGCCCTTCTTACGGAAGCAAGGCATGCCAACGCGGTTGAACCGAGGTGAGTTTGTGTGCTGTTGTTCACAGCAGGATGTGGACGGAGGACTGAGGACTACCTCCTCCACCCGAATCAAATGCCCGGTCGTTATGTCTGCATCTAGACTGAAAGTCGCACCGAGTGCACAGCTATAATGACCACCGGGTGTGCTATTCAGGTGAAGATGGTAGTGACAAGCGTGAGGAGGAAAGGGAGAAGGGGGTTGTGTGCGGAGCTCCGATGGGCAGAGGACAATATCAGGGCGTTGCAGGCCAGGGGTGCCGGACGGCTTGAGTTAGACATGGCAGAGAGGGTTAGGGAGGGAGGGAGGGAGAAAGGGAGGGAGGGAGGGAGTGTCGGGATTAGTTCTCGCCGCGCCTCTACCTTTGTGAGTCTGTCTCATCGATGCCTCTTACCACCGGTTGGGGGAGTGTTTCCGGTGTTCATCACCCGTCTACCTCTAGTCATGCCTTGTCCATGCGCACCTCTTGATGGCAGGCCGGAGAGGGTTGGGATTATTTCTCACCCTTTCTACCTCTGTGTGCTGTTATCAGCTTCGCACACATCTCAGGTTATAATTGTTCATACAATGGGCCTAGCTCGGTTGGTACACCCACAACCTTTTTTTTTTTTTCCCTTTTTTTTTGGCGCATGCCTGTTTGTAGTGAAAGATTGACTTCTCTTTTTTTTTGTTCCGCCCGCCTGCTTCTTCTTCTTCTTCTTCTTCTTCTTTTCTTTTCTTTTTTTTCTTTTCTTTTTTTTTTGGCTGATATTTCTGAAGGTTAGTTTTGTCTGTTATGTCAGGACTGTGAGGTCTCTTTGGGTTTCTCTCCCTGAGTCCCTTCATCTGAGTCACTCTCTCTGGATCACTCTCCCTTCGGGTCTCTCTCTCTCTCTCTCTCTCTCTCTCTCTCTCTCTCTCTCTCTCTCTCTCTCCCTCTCTCTCTCTCTGTGTGTGTGTCTCTGTGCGGCACTGTCTCTGGTCACTCTCCCTA